TCAAAAGGTAGATTTTTATTTTTAGCAGTCACTTAGCTTTAAAAAAAAAAAAAAAAAAAAACAAGGGAATCTTCTTAATGTTCTCTTTCTGTATGAACCAGAGATCTAGCTATCATTCACTAATGGATTGAACAACAGAATGCAAGAATCAATCAGATTTTTCACTGGATGGCCCAAGTGACTTCATTAAAATACACAGGATCTGGAAGATAACTCCATAAATCCCCACACTTAGGCAGTCAATTGTATATCAATTCAAAAATTTTTATAAAAATGTGAACTATGAATCTATTAAAATGAACTGAAAGTAAGATACACTGAAACTGCATACTTTATTCATTTTTCCTGTAAACGAAATTGTGCAAAAATAGTCTATTAATTTAAAAAAATTAGGAACACAAAAAAATACAGAATGAGAATTACAATCATAATCTCTTTTTTTTAATCCAATTTGTTCCATCATCCTAGATAGGCAACATCTGTAAAAACTTAAACTAAGCAACAAATATACCACTTGTAGTAAATTAGAAACAATTATTATGTTCACAGAATTGAAAGCTTGTGACTCAATGGGTTAACTCTATGGTGTCACCAACATGAAACTATGCCAACCAGTTTATTATCCTGGGGGGGATTTAATCTCCTTTTGGAGCTGCTATTTATGTCACTCATCAGACAACCAAACAGTTTTAGTACATCCTTTTTTTAAAAAAAAAAAAAATTTTTTTATTTATTTTTTTAGTTTTGGTGGACACAAATCTTTATTTTTTTATTTTTATGTGGTGCTGAGGATCGAACCCAGTGTCTTATGCATGCTAGGCAAGCACTCTACCACTGAGTCACAATCCCAGCCCTAGTATATCCTTTATACGGTTGTTTTATATTAATTACCGTTCAGACTGCCATGTAATTATGTAGTCATTTGGTTACATATTGTCTCTTCAAATAATATAAACACCTTTAGAGGAAAGGCTGGCATGCAGCACAAAGCCTTTAGTATAGGGTTTTGTTGTTCTTGTTCTTGTTGTTTTTTACAATTTATAGTTCGTCAAACTCTTAAGTGCTCAGTATTTGCTATTCAGCTGAAAAGCAATCAGATGCCAACTACTTATAAGGCCTCCAGGGGAGAGTATACAAAAGGCTTTCCTCCCTTTGTATTTCATATAATTTGCTTTAAGTGATTGGGTTACCAATTTTTCCTATTTTGGGTTTTCCACTTAAAAATGGACACTTTTGCAGAAGATAGAGAAAGTGGGCGTGAGAATGTAAATACACCTAGAAAAGAAAGATGGGTAGGGAATGGGTACTATTACTTTACTTTTCTTCCCCATGGTTACACAATGTTAGAGGTTTTCAGTAACAAAAGGATTTTTCCAAATGGAAGCCTTTAAAGTACAGTAGTACCGCTATCTAAAAACTCAAAATTAATTATAACTAAATAATTAATAAAACAAACTCAAATCAAGATGTTTAGCTAATAAGGAGCCAGATGCTAATACTGATCATCAGTTGATAAGTGTTACGTTGCTGGTACCCCCACAAGCTCTCCCACGAATATATCTGCTGGTCAATACTGGAAGTGGCAAGGACTATCAAAGTTTTCTCTATGGAACAATAAATTCTTGTGATCCTGTACCAAGTTTTTGGAGGGTTAAAAGAAGTCATGTCAACAAAATCTCCTTTATCAATTACCAACTTAACTTTCTGGGCATTCTACATCACGGCTTTAAGAGATATGGGTGATCTCTAGAGACTCTGATCCAGAGTTTTAGTTTGGGGAGTTTAATAATGGCTTAACTAAGCTCTACCCCCCTTTGTCAGTTTTAGAAGTTCAAATATCACAGGAAATTGCTTTACAATAGTTGCCACAACATACTCTACAGTATAACTTCCCATCTATTAGAAGTATTAGATATGACTCCATAGTTTAGCCATTATCAAGAAAAACATAGGCCAGCTGGGAAAATTGCGCAAACTTCTTAAGTTTTGGAAAATTTTAATGTAGGCACTCTAGTATATATGGAGCAATATAAATAATAAACTAAGAGTAAAACTCACCAAAGGGCTATCAATGTTAATGGATCTGTGACATCTTTTAATAACATTACTATTATGACATTTTCTAAAACTCAAAGCAGAAGAGAACCCAGTTTGGAACTGGATGTGCCACCTGCAGTCTACCCAACTCCCTCTTTTCTGCTTTCATCCATCCTCATCCCTCAACAGAAACTTCACTCCATCTCCAAAGACATCCAGGCACTGGCTATCTTCATCTTCAAATGCTACATACTCTGTTTTCATGCCATTCCCAGCTTTAAGTCATGACAATGTTCTCTCTAACTATTATTATGCTCCTTAAGTACTGAGTTGTTACCTAAATTATTTTTTTCACCTAGACCTGAAAAACTGAGTTGTACATCTGATCTCTTCCCTCTAGTACACAAGTAATTTCAAGCCCCTGGTAGTCACCCTAAAAAAAAAGAGAGAGCCCAAGTTCTGCCCTATTATCTCCATCTGTTCAATAAATATTTGCTGAATAAAAAATGTGTAAAATGCTCTGCATGCCATGCCTTTCTAATGCAGGAAGGTGTTCCTTCTCTCCTATATATACATGTGCTCTATACTCAGGAAGCCCTTTTGTCAACACTGCTTCCTTTCTTAACTAAGTCCTCTCCCAATGCTTTGACCTTTAATAACTTCTCTATATTCACCCAACTTCCTCTATTATTGGTATTTTTTTTTACCTGATTTGGATCTCAAAAGTCTGCCTAACAGTGATTTTCTAACTCTCACAAGATAACATGGAAGAAAAGTTGTCTTCAGAAAAGAGTCCAAAGAGTTTCCAGAGAGAAGGGGGAAACTCAACTCAGGACTAGCAGAGGTCTTAGCTATGTAGCACCAGTCAGAACACACATTTATTTTAAAAAGTAAATACACATTAAAGAGAGAACTTGGGCCATCTCAAGAATGAGAGATACATTTTGGGAATCTCTAGCTCTTCTTTTAAAAGAAATTTGCTGAGGGGTAGGTATGAGAAGGATGTAGAGTGATCTCAAGATTGTTATGGTGGTCTGGTCATTTTCAGTATCCTTAGGATGACATGGTCTCTATTAGCTGACCAATAGGTAACACAGGAAAGTTTCTTAAAATGTCAAAAGAAAGAGCTGGGACTGCTTGGTCAGTTCTGTTCAACAAGTTGGCCTCTTTAGTTTCATGTGGCTCTTTCACAGGCAAATGGTATTTTTTCTATACTTACATACTTTTCTAGTTTAATTCTCAGACAAAAGGATCATCACTTAGAATGTAAAAGTCTCTTTGGAATGGTTCAAACAAAACCCTTCAGGTGGAGAAATGATCTGGTAGAAAGAATGTAAATGATGGATTTAAGACAGAACTAGACTGAAATCTTGATTCTGCATTTCCTAAAGGTATAATCTCTAAGCTTAAATGTTTTCATTGGCGTGTACAACGGCACACACCTGTAATCTCAGCAGCTTGGGAGGCTGAGATAGGAGGACCAAGAGTTCAAAGCCAACCTCAGCAATCCAGTGAGGCCCTCAGCAATTCCGTGAGACCTGTCTCTAAATAAAATATGAAATAGGGTTGGGGAAGTAGCTCAGGAGTCAAGTGCTCCTGAGTTCAATCCCCAGTGCCCCTTTGCAAAATGTCTTCATTTATATAAGTGGGAATGTTACAGGGAAATCATTTTATCCCCTCCCTGCAAAGGTTATGTGAACCCACAATAAGAAAAAAAAGAAGTGGTTTTACTATTTTTACCCTTCCCTTCTCTACCTCCTTTCCTTCAAAGTGTCTAACAACATTCCAACATCCACTAGAAAGACAAATATGAATAACAGTTGTAATTCTCCTTCCCCCAAATGAGTTCATGTAAAATACACACCCAAAATCTCACTGAAAGTTTCCCTCTGTCTTTCCTAAATGCACGGCTTGAATCCATTATTCTGTTTATGCAGTAAGATCTCTTAGAAGTTGGCTATTACAAATACAGCTCAATTCTGTGTGTTAAATTTTAAATATCTATCAAGATGCTCTTTTCTCAATATACAATCCTATTAGGTTACTGCAGAAAACATTAAATTGAATGTGAATGAATGTGTCAACACACACAAATGTCTTATCAAAATTACCTCCAAAGAAATGTAAATCAAAAACACTCTAAGATTTCATCTTACTCCAGTCAGAATGGCATCTATCAAGAATACAAGCAAGAATAAATGCTGGTGAGGATGTGGGGGAAAAAGGTATATTCAATACATTGCTAGTGGAACTGCAAATTGGTGCAACCATTACGGAAAGCAGTATGAACATTCCTTACAAAACTTGGAATGGAACCACTATTAGACCCAGCTATCCTACTCCTTGATTTATACCTAAAGGATTTAAAATCAGCATACTTCAGTGACACAGCCACATCAATGTTTATAACAGCTCAACTCACAACAGCTAAACTATGGAACTAACCTAGGTGCCTTTCAACAGATGAATGGACAAAGAAAATGAGGTATATGTATATACACAATGGACTATTAGCCAGCCTTTAAGAAGAATAAAATTATGGTATTTGCCAGTAAATGGATGAAACTAGAGGATATTGTGCTAAGTGAAATAAGCCAATCCCCAAAAAACAAAGGCTGAATGTTTTCTCTGATATGTGGATGCTAATTCATAATTAAGGAGGTAGGGGGGTAGGGAAGAAACAGGTACTTTGGAATAGACAGAGGGGAGGAAGCATGTGAGCAAGAAGGATAGTAGAATGAACTAGACATTATTACCCTAAGTGCATATATGATTATATGACCCGTGTGATTCTACATCATGTACAACCAGAAGAATCAATTATACTCCATTTATGTATAATGTGTCAAAATGCTTTCTACTGTCATGTATAACTAATTAGAACCAATTTTTTAAAAATCTCCAAATCTAGGTTTTATCCAATTTATAGTGTCGGAGCATCAAGCAATTTCAATTAAACATACCTCTTGTAGAAGACGTGGATCCACGCAATCACCATCATCGTTAAACATAGATTCCCAGCTCTCTTCAGTAGCAGTATTTCCCTCTATCTGAGAAGTTTCAGTTACATTAAAATCCATGGATGTTTCTATAGATGATTCTCCACCAGGAACTGATACACCAAAGCCTATATTCTCTGAGTCATCCTGCTCTTTTGTTTTGAACTCTTCAGCAGTTCTCAGTTCATGTAATGCCTCTGTTATATCACCAATACTATCCAGATCATTGCCCAAGGCATTCTCTAAAAGTACTTTTGTCCCATTTGACAAACTGAGTTCAGAGTCCAAAAAAATGTTACAATTACTACCAGTAATCTTCTTTATAGGTAAGGAGGAAGCACAATCTGACAAGCTCTCTATCAACTTTCCTGTTGACTCTGTAAAACTAGATGAAATACTCTCAACATAAATATCAGAGCAAACAGTCAGGCTGCTGAAATTTTCTGAGTCACTCTCACTTTTAGCATGAAAAGGGGATGCATCTGAACTTATATCTATATATTTTGAGAAACTATTCGTATTGCTACAAGTTTCATCAGCTAGTGTAACTCCAACTACACAAGGGCTGCTTACAGTTATATGATCATGTATGGCACCTGTAGTGTCCATCATACAAGACTTACTGGTAATGTCACCTATACTCTTGGATCTATTATCTGTATCTGTTTCATGAGCAAGGACAATTATATCAGAAGGTTCACACTTTACACATAACTCATCAGCAGTGCCGTTATTCTTCTCATACTCTCTAATCACTGCTGGATCCATAATGCCATTTGTGTTCTCTGACTTGCTGGCCATAGTCATTTTATGAGAGATGAGACCCACAGTCTCAGGAATGGAATCTATACCTTTCTGACACAAGATGAAATTTGTAGCATTGGCTTTATCACCTATATTCTCAACTTCAAAGTCTATACAAGTTTGATCAATGACACCATCTGGACTTCCAGGAACAGTAGGGATGCTTCCATTGCTGAGCTTCAGCATTCCACCTGATGTTTGCAAACCTTCTAGTACAATTTCAGAATCAGAGCTTAGTTTTACTGGTATACTCATATTCTCAGGTTTCAATATAGTTGTGAAAACTCTAGGAAACTGGGATAGTATCTCTACAACTTTGGCATCAGTTTCAATTCCACTTTCTGAATCTCTGCCTTCAAAAGTTTCCCCACTTGATTCAAGTCTACTGAAGTTACATAAGTCTACATTCTGGAATGGTTGTTTTAGAACCTGAGCCTCGGTGATTTCTGAACAAGACTGTGATAGAAGTATCCCTTCATGTCCTGTCACAACTGTAGTTTGAACCTCCAAACACTCCACGCTCTTTGGTTGTCTTTGTAAAGAGGAAGTGGGTATAATCTCTGTATTTGGAACTCTTTGCTGATGTTCTGGGGATAATACTTCACTGGATTCTGTGGCTCCTCTCTTACTACAAACCTTATCTTTTTTCCTTTTTTGAAGGTATGTATCTTTTCTTTTTGTTGAAGATTTTCTTCCTTCCCTATAACTATGCTCCTTTCTATCAGGATTAATACTTAATTGTTGAGCTCCAGGTTTGTTTCCAAAGATCTCCTTTTGGAACAGACAAACTTCTCTCTGTTCTTCTTTTATCACAGAATTAGAAGGACCACAGCTTTTTTCCTTATCACATGTATTGAGGAGTACTGTACCCCTTCGAGCTTTAGGTACATAAAGTGCCATGTCAGGCCTTTTGGCTCGAACTCTACATCTCTCTGTTTCTTGCTGCATGGTACCAACTTCAATCTGAAAGAAAAGAGAGAGTGATTTAATTACCAAAAACTAATTACAATGTATTGAACTTAGAGATTCTAAAAGATTAGTTAGAGGACCTAGTAATCCATCCTGTAGAAATCCTCAAGTTTAAAAAAATAAAATAAAACCTGCCATAAAATAATTAATGCTATCAGGTGTACCACTAAGGATATTAAAAAAAAAAAAAAACCTCTCATGAGATCATGCATTCTATACAAATACCCTTTTTTTGTATTCAATCTCTGAACCATTGAGCTCTACCTTCCAAATTCTTCTCTACATTTTTAACAAGTAGTTCTGTCTTAAGCTGAATTAAAAAAAGATATATGAATCAGTAATTGCCACCTATCAAATACTCATAAACACAATCATTTTCATATTCTAGGAGCTTAGACTTTTATTTTGAAGAGTATACTCAAGACGGATACCAAAAAAGCCATATTTGTCAAATGAATAAAAAATAATTTTAAAGAGTAACTTGAATGTCAGCTATAAGATAAACAACAAACGAGGGAACATTTCCTACAAGAAATGGCTTTTGACCTGTTTTTTTGTTTGTTTGTTTGTCTTTGTTTTGTTTTGTTTTGTTTTGGTACTGGGGATTGAATCCAGGGCACTTTACCACTGAGCTACATTCTGGTTCTTTTTATTTTATTTAAGATTTTGAGACAGGGTCTCACTAAATTGTTGAGGCCAGCCTCAAACTTGCAAACTTTCTGCCTCAGCCTCCCAAGTCACTGAGATTAGAGGCTTGTGCTATCATGCCCAATTTGAACTATAATTCTGCAGAAAGCAAAAGACAGCAGAAAAGAGAAAAGCATTCAATTACTCTGACTTGATCATTACATATTGTATATACGTACTGAAATCTTACACCTTCCCTCCAAAATATGTACAATTCCTCTGTGTCAATTAAAAGTAAAAATATGCCAAGGTGGGTGGCATACAACTGTAATCCCAGTCTCTCAGGATGCTGAGGCAGGAAGATGGTGAGTTGGAGGCCAGTCTGGGCATTTTAGCAAAAATTCTATTTCAAAAGGAAAAGAAGAAAAGAAAGGGTTAAGGATGTAGCTCAGTGGTGGAGTATTTTTCTAGCAGATGCAAGGCCCTGGGTTCAATTCCCAGCACTACAAATAAACAAACAAACAAATAAATAAAGGGGGAAAGGTACTATTATTCTATTAAAGGTTAAGCATCTTTAATCCTAAAAAGTTCAAAATGCTCCAAAATTTTAAACCTATTGAGTTTCAGCAACTCGGTTTTGGATTTTGAAGCATTTAGGATTTCAGATTTTTCAGTTAGTGATGGTTAACCAATAAGACAATACAAACATTTAAGAATCCGAAAAGCTCTGAAATCTGAAGCACTTCCAAGTCCCAATATTTCAGATAGAAAAAAAACTTAGCCCATAGCACTATTTAGTCAAGAGATCTACTACAAATCTTTGTTTCCAGCATAATAAAACAGATCCAGGTAAAATGAAGAAGGGTGGAGAACAATAAAATTATGAGACAACTCACACTAGTAAAAACTGCCTGGAATTGCTACCATGGCTGATCAAGAGAATTGAACAAGAAATTAAACAGAGGTTAAATAAACTTTATAAATACAAGGAATCATGCCAGGTAATTTCATGTTGAGTTGTTCTTTAATCTTCAAAATAATGCTCTGAAGTAGGAAGGTATCAGTTTGTCCAGAGCAGAGAGAAGTACTTTATATTAGCAAAGAAACACCCTATACACACATATGAACCCACTGTTAATATTTCGTAACATATACTTCAAAAGAAAGAGAAGGAAGAGGGATAGAAAGGCTAATGAATCCTGTTCAATATTAGATCCCTAATATTTAACTTGATCATAGAATACATCCCTCAGGTTGTGGTTTGGATTCCCAGTACAAAACACTGACGCACTTCTGGATATAAAACGGTACATTGTAGATTATGTAATAGAACTAGTAAGTGGGCTCACAACTGATTAAATAAATAATGATAATGGGTAAAAATAAATGTGCAGGATGTTATTTAAAGGAGGACCACAGCCCTTGAGAATCAATATTTTACCAATATGGATGTAGACAATACATACTAAATGTTTATAAAATACACAATTGACACAAAACTGATGGGATTCATAAATACCAAAAATGAGAAGATTATAATTCATACTCATTCCTATAATTTGAAATGCTACGCTGAAGGCAGTATGAAGGCAAAACACAACAGACACAATAATCTGTTTTAGGGTTTAAAAAAAAAAAAACAGCACAGAAGAGTTGACTTTGGTACAATTTACACAAAGAAATACTTAAAGACTTCTACTTTGTCCACAAGACCAAGAAAAACCAAAAATTGCGAAGAGAACATTTAAAAAACCAACATGGTCTTTGATTACAGAGTACAAAAATATGATTAAAAGAACTAAATAAAAAACATTACACTTAACTTTATACCTGAAGGATTGGTTGCTCTGTGGAAGAGCCAAAATTTCTCTTCTATATATTTCTATACTTCTATGATTCTCCAGAACTCAGTGCCAGAACCCACTGGAATAAATTAAAGGAAAACAAAAGGTTAATTCAATATAAGAAAATACTCTACTTCTAAAGTTCTTCAATGCTATTATCAGATAATGAGTTGTTTTTAGAAGAACTTAAATAAAGCATAAATGAATGATCAAACATAAGACAAAGAATTTCTATTTATAATTATAGACAAGTGCTCTAGATAAATTTTAAGCATTCATCAAACCCTAAATTCTTTGATTCTATTTCAAATCTGCAACAAACCTACCAAAGGCTTCAAATTATATATTTTAAAATTATTATGATGTGCTATGACTAATGGCTTTCAATACTCAAAACTTTTTTTCTTAATGCTCATAAAGCTGAACAGCCGTGTAATAAATTCAATATTGTCTATTTTCTACCAAAACACTGAATTCAACTGTTCCAGGACCAGCAGTGTGTTGGTAAATTATCAACTAACTCACCCAGGGTATTTTGGAGTACTGGCTGCTATTTTTATCTATGTCAATTATGTCAACAATGTGACTTCTTTGTTAAGACGCACAATTTTTTCTGAATAATGGAAGAATATATCCTCAGATTTTTGAGCTCTTCACAATATAGTAAAGACATGATACATTTATATTAGTAGCATTTTCTCCGTCACTTTAAGTCTAGACAATCAATGAATAATAAATCAAGCCCTGATTTATGGTGTTTGCCATTGTCTGCACTGTAAATATTCTTAATGTGGCTTACTTTTAAGCTACTGATATGACATCATTGAACATGGAGTTGGGAAAAGATGTATAAAATCACACTATTATACAGGATTATCAACCACAACGATACAAGATACATAATAACTTCAAGAGCACAGATCAAAATAAAATGCAGAAGTAATGAGTTTTAGGTATTTATTCCCTTAAAAATAAAATGTTTAATTGTAAGCCTATGTAGTTTAATTTTTAATAATGGCTGTGTTTAACAATCTGTGCAAATTTCCTAAAATTTTAACTATCAGCTCTCAGGCCAGTAGGAGATACTCCAATATACCTAGATGTGACCATTTTTTTCATAACTTACAGACACAAAAAAAGGAGAAGTATCACCATCTTGTGGACTTTCAAGATATTGTCAATTTATTACAGCTTTGTTGAATTTTTATAAATTTCTTTTGCAAGAAATTTTGTTGAAATTTTTATGACGCATTCTCCCTCTTTCCACCAAAGCCATTTTTTTTTTCTTCTGAACATTCTTAATGGCAAAGTATAGATATCGTGGGCCTTTGCCCTACATACTTCACAGTGTATTTGTTATAAATAGGAATATTCTCTTTTATAACCACGATACAGTTATCAAGGTCAACAAATTTAACATTGAAAGTTCTAATAAAAAACAGATGTAATACAATGTTACTGCATCAAATATAAGTATATTTTCTATTGCATATTTCCCTCTCCAATACAGAATACAGTTTAGGGTTAGGTGCTATACTAATTTTCAAGCCTCTAGCCTCCTATACTCTGGGAACATTTCCATAGCCTGTTAGGACACTGACATTTTGGAATAATAGCTCCCCTATCCACCCTTTTTGAAAACATTATTCACTTAAGGTTTGTCTTATGTCCCATGATAAACCCGAGATTATATATACTCAACTAAAACACTAAAAAGGTGGTGATGTGTACTCAGGGAATCACATCTGGAGACACATGATTTCCATCTGTCCTTCAATGATGCTCTTAACTTTTATCATCCAGTCACAGTGTTGTCCAATTTCTTAAATTAGTGTGCATTTTCTTCCTTGTAAAAAAACAAGCAGTCTGTGGGGTGGCACTTCAAAAGCAAGCAAATACCCTGTTTTTTCATAAAAATATCTCCCTACAGTTAGCACTCCATATGCTAAATCTGATGATTTTTATCTAATCCGATCTTTATTATGATGGTTGCAAAATAATGATTTTTCCAAATCCAGCAGTCCCTCTACATTTACCAATCAGTCCTAGGCCTTATTCTGAAAACAAAAGTAAACCATAAGGGCTGGAGTTGTAGAATGCTTGCCTAGCACATGTGAGGCAATGGGTTTGAACCTCAGCACCACATAAAAATAAACAAACAAAATAAAGGCATTGTGCCCATCTACAATTAAAATAAATAAAATTTTTAAAAATTTTACTCATGGGATTCCAAGATGGCCGCAAATATAGTGCATCACACCCCGTGTACCGCGACACTGCGCAGGTGAATAACGAGTTAGAACGACAAAAAGCTATCTTTTCAGGAATTTACAGCAAAATCGGGGTGCACCGAAACCTAGAGGAAGGATTTCCATCACAGAGGACCGGTTTTTGAGTCTCAAACGCGAGCCAACTGTGCGACCGGAGATCCAGGCTGACTGATCCGCCACTCGCCACGCAGCCTGCCCCACGGCTACAGATGGCGGGGCGCCGCCGAGAAGCGACCAGCAAGCAGAGGGAAACGGTGCTCCGGATTCTGTGGAGTCCTGCCGGCTGTGCCCTCACTGAGCTTCGGGCTGAGTTCGGGGTTTGAGACGGGAAGGAAGCGGTCCAGTTCTATCCCCCACAACGGAAAGTCCACCAAGGAAGCCAGCGGCCACCATCTTGGAGAGCTGACGTCACCACCGCCAGTTTCCGAAAGATTGCAACAATAAAACAGGTGTGTGTTACTCAGCCCATCTCCCATACAGCGGGGAATTCGCATAAAATCTCTCCCAGGCTTTCTGAGGGAGTGATTATCAGAATGAGCCTGCATAGAGACTCGGGGAAAGGTAGAGACACCTGACTTCCAACTCCCCCTCCCATCAGCGGTGAAAACGAAAACTGTCTTGCCAGGTCTGGGGGAGGGGCAAGCGGAAAAAATCAAAACAATAGGGTGCTAATTCCCAATAGCCACCCTCCACATCCAGCAAACCGCAGGCCCAGAGTACAGTTTGAACTGTACTGCCGAGAGGCATCACACAGGGGAAGGCCGGGCTAGCAGGAGAAGCCAGGGGACTAGAGGCCAGGCCCTCGCAACTGGGCAGCTAGAGACCGCCCGCCCGCCCGCAGGCGACCGCCTGCCCGCCCGCACGACTGTGCGGCTGGAGACCGACCGCCCGCCCGCCGGCGACCGGGCAGCTAGACCCCGAGGTGCGGCCCAGCAGGTACAGCGCAGAGACTCTAGGAAGAGGTCTATAGCCAGGCCTTCATGAAGTAGACAACCAGGAGCTGAAACCAACCAGAGACAGACCAGTCCCACCCCTCCCTTCGGACACCCCGGCAAGGAGCCTGGGGCCCTCCATAGCAGAGAGGTGACATCACCGGAGTTCGGCTGACGGAATTCCTTCCCAGCGGAATCCACTTTAGCAGGAGAGAGCAGAAACACAGCAATCAAACAGAGATGGAAAGTAACGTGAATAACATAAAAAAAAACAATGGAAAAAAGGATTACAAACAATGCAGGACAACTTAAATCTACAGGAGGACCTAGAAGCATCAGAAACATGGATAGGGAAAGAACTCAAGGCATACCTAACTCAGATGGAACGGAATATTAGAGAAGACATGAGACAGCAAGTCCAAGCAATGAAAGTATATTTTGAAAAAGAATTAAACAAATTCAAATGACAAAGAACGAGCTTTACCAGGAGATAGAGATTTTTTAAAAAAATCAAACAGTAATCCTAGAAATGCAGGAAACCATAAACCAAATTAAAAACTCAAACGAGAATATTACAAATAGACTAGATCAAGTATAAGTCAGAACATCAGATAATGAAGACAAAGTTTATCAACTTGAAAAGAATATAGTCAACACAGAAATGATGCTTAAATCTCATAAGCAATCTACTCAAGAGATATGGGATGTCATAAAAAAAACCAAACTTGAGAGTCATCGGGAGAGAAGAAGGTATAGAGGTTCAAACCAAAGGATGAAATGAAATAATTGAATGAAATAATTCTAGAAAACTTCCCAGAGATGAAAGATGGAATGGATTGCCAAATCCTGGAAGCTTACAGGACCCCAAACATTCAAAACCGTAATAGACCAACTCCAAGACATATAATTATGAAGATAGCCAACATACAGAACAAGAAGAGAATATTAAAAGCTACGAGAGAAAGGAGGCAGATTACATTCAGGGGTAAACCAATTAGGTTAACGACTGATTTTTCATCACAGACTTTGAAAGCGAGAAGATCCTGGAACAATGTATTTCAAACGCTGAAAAATAATGGATTCCAACCAAGAATACTGTATCCAGCAAAATTAAGCTTCAGATTTGAAAATGAAATTAAAATATTTCACGATAAACAAAAGCTAAAAGAATTCGCAGCCAGAAAACCAGCACTGCAAAGCATTTTGAGCAAAATACTACAAGAAGAGGAATTGAAAAATAGCGCCCAAAACTAACAGTGGGAGGTATCTCAGTAAAGGGGGAGAAAAATAACCAAAGAGGAAAAACTAGCCAAACTAAAATAAATAAATAAATAAACATGACTGGAAGTACAAACCATATTTCAATTGTAACCTTAAATGTTAATGGCCTAAATTCACCAATCAAGAGACATAGGCTAGTAACCTGGATTAAAAAAACAAATCCAACAATATGATGCCTTCAGGAGACGCATATGATAGGAAAAGACACACACAGGCTGAAGGTGAAAGGTTGGGAAAAATCATACCACTCACATGGCCCTCGGAAGCAAGCAGGAGTGGCCATACTCATATCGAAAAAATCAACTTCAAACCTAAGTTAATCAAAAGGGATAAAGAAGGACACTATATACTGTTAAAAGGAACCATCCACCAACAAGACATAACAATTATCAATTTGTATGCACCAAACAATGGTGCTGCAACGTTCATAAAACAAACTCTCCTCAAGTTCAAGAGTCAAATAGACCACAACACAATAATTATGGGTGGATTCAACACACCGCTCTCTCCATTGGACAGATCCTCCAGACAAAAGCTGAATAAAGAAACTATAGAACTCAATAACACAATCAATAACCTAGACTTAACCGACATAT